CCTGCRTATGAAATGTCTTCTTGACGAGAAAAGGACAGCAGCTCCTGAAAATACAGAGTGCAATTTTTAAAAAATCTCTTATTGGCAACAAGCCATATTTCGAAAAAAAAAGTATTTTGTGTGTACTTGTGTAGATTATTTTGGGCTCCAAGACAGACAGATAATTTTAATGAATACCTTAACTATTGTAGTACAAAACCATTCTGCTCCCCCAAGGATTAACAGTTGCTTGAATTTATGAAGAATCTTAGTAGAAAAATGTTTTTGCTTTATACAATTATTGAAGAGTTGCTGCATGACCTACAAGGACAAAATAAAGTAATTATACCTCAATTACACATCAAAGCAGATCCGGGACTTTCTTCAGAGAGAAGTGCAGGTCACTGATGTAAGGGGTGCATTCCCCAAAACAATTGTCATAAAGACACAAAATAAGGAAAAGTAGTGAGAAACGACAACAGATACTTTTCTGATAAACTTTGGTTTTTCTTACCTTTGATGGAGTTTGGTTGATCTCAACTGGTAAGCTTGATCCTGGAGCATCGTCTACAGCAGAAACCACATGTAATTAATTCAAGAGGAAATGGTTTGAGATCAATAGTGACCACTAGTCTCCTTTGCAGCCTAACCTGATGGGCTTCCTGTCCCTACAGGAGTTCAACCTTAACACTAACCAAAAAACGCCATACGTTATCAATTGAAGCCCTTCTTATTTTGAGGTTTTTATTTCTACTTCATTTATATAACAATTCTGCTAATATCCACTTACCTTTTCTGTCAATGTTAGCCGACATACATTGCATGACATGTACCATCATGGAGCACCTAGTGAACAAGACAACAATCCATATTGAGTATCAAACCTTGTATACTATCTAACATTGTTTACTCTACTAACACTATTTCTTTTGTTTATGCTAATATACCACTTTGTAGTCTTCCCCATCATTAATAACAACAGCAGCAACAACAACAGTAAATCATCATCATCATCATCATTATCATCATCATAATCATATAAGGTTATTCAGTAAAATGGAACCTTTTAAATCTTGATTATCAATAATTATTAATAAATGTTTCAATTAAAACAAGATTAGCAAACCTGTCATTGAATACTGGGTCCATCCCTCTGTCATTTATTGGAGACAACAAAAACTGAAGCAATCTACAAAAAATACAGACTATATACAAAACACATCTTCTTCAAAACAAACAAACATTTTCTAATTAAAAATGTGAGAGAGCAAAACTCTGCACTTGGGGATATTTCTTGCATTAAGTGTGATGCTACTTGTCTTATGGTTAACTTTTAAAATTCCTGATCAATAATTAATAAAATTATTTTCATAAATGAATCCTGACATTTGCCATTGTCATCCAGATTTTACTCAGACATAGAGTAGCATTAAGTGGCTAGGGTTTAGATCTACAACTAAAAAAAATAATAACATTAATTTCTAATAATTTTCAATGCCATACCCTGGCTGTGATGGACGATCGGTAGTCTCGGATCTTTCCGATGTAAGGAAGGCCCTTTGTTCCATTCTTAACTCATGAATGTATCCACAGCACCAGGCACAAACACAGATTGCCCAAGCAGGGACCTCGTACTTGATGTGATTAACTAGTTTCTGTAATCAAAGTATAAATAGTTTATTTGCTGCTCAAATTACTACTTTCATGGTAAATACAAATCTATACAGGGACCATGTTCTTTGTTGTTCAATCAGTTTCATGGTACATAAATGCATCATCTATAGGGACCTCATTCTTTGGTGCTCATCTAGTTTCATGGTACATAAATCCATCATCTCTACAGGGACCTCATCCACACATCATCTACTATTTGTTTTACAATACTTGCCAAATTATGTTGCACTAAGTTGCATACCTGTACTGTTTCTGCGGATGAATGTAATTCATACTGCCATGTTTTAAGCATTTCATGCATAGCAATAGGTACATTACAGCAAAGATCATCCCAGCGAGCATCACTAAAAATTAAATATTGACTCATATTTACTTCCACATAAATACTCTCATGTCAAGTAATAAAGAATAAACAACATCAAATAAAAAAAATTAAAAAAAGAATGCAATGTCATGGTCTACTGGTGGAACAAAGCAGTGTCCTCGCAGGGGGAGGAGTGGGATCACTTTACCTCCAGGGGGGAGGAGAAGGGAAACATTTGTACACATATCCCATCATCCAGTCAATGTACACCTATTTCAAAAACGTTGCAAACCGTGATTGTTGAACAGAGATTGCATGACCAAGAAAGGACTATACACTCTGTTTTAATTGATAAACAAAATTTTCAATTGTATGATTCACCTGGCATAGAAATGGAGACTAAATGGAGCCAATGTTCACCACAGAATATCTTACAGTATAAATCAGTTGTTATTTCCCTTCACTTAGGAAAACCCATGGCTAAGTTTGACAATTGACATTCCCCATTTTAGCCAATAACATTTTTTTAAATAGGTATATAAACAATTTGACAAAGGCCTGAGTATAAATTCAAATCGTAAATCCCACCTGGTCATGAATGGTCCTTTAGTGTAGAACTGACTAAGCAGTAAAGTGACAATAGAWGGATTAGGGGGGTACTGTGGGTTTGGGTAAAAAGTGCGTGACTGGTCACTCTCTGGAATGTGTGACAATATCCATTGYGTCATGAAAGCATCTTCAAGGCCGCAAGACTGTGCTACCTCTACAATAACCTGAAATACCAGACAAAGGAATTATTGGATARCCATGTACACATATGAGGAATATCTTGTCCCAGAAGAATCAAAATGTCACTCCATACATCATAAAAATACAAACCTCTTGTCCAAAAACCTGTGCAACATGGCAAAGGATTATAAATGCTGCATTGAAAAGATTTCCTCGAAGTTGACACGATCTTCCTGGAATAAATCAAAACATGTAAAAGTTAAAAAAAATTCAGTGTTAATCACAATTGAATATAAGAGTTTGGTTTCGGCAAAACGTTACCTGAGTTTTCTTCGTCGTTATCATTTAGATGCTTTGTTTCCTCTGTAAGCCTAAACAAAAAATATAGCAATTACATAGCAGAGTACAAACATTAAACGTGTGTAACACTTTCCACTATTTACTACGAAATAGTGTTAATTAAACAATAGAAAACAATAGAATTAGCATAATTTAGCAGTATTTAGTGGCATAATTTAGCAGTATTTACTGGTATTTATGTTGCACAGTTTTAGTGTTTGTACTCTATGCAGTTTAACCAACAGTCAGACTGAAATAAAGAGGCAGACAGACAGACAGCAACACATAGTGAACACAGAGAAACATCATTCAGTAACAAAACGACATGTCACACAATTGAGTCAGCCAGTTACAGCAAACCCTGCAGTCAGAAAGCCAGACAGAGAAAGTTTATACAAACCTTATTAGAGCTGACACTAAATTCTGCATTTTGCTCAAACTAGCTACTGCCACTAGCTTCCATTTTGATTGAATGACGTTGAAAAGAGAGCTGAGCTGAGTCAAGAACTTGTCGTCTTTAGCTGTTTCACTTGTTTCAAGCAGCTGAAAAGAGAAATAAACCCTGATTGATTGGTTGATCCATTGATTGACTAATTGACTGATTGATATGATCGATTGATTGATTGATCGACTGATTGATCGAATATTGTGCACAGTTTACTAACCTGTAAAATAGGTAATACTTTGGATTCTAAAACAAGAAAATAATAACACTRAGATTACCAAAAATAATAATAAGAAGTGATAAATATGTGGCAAATTTTAATTATCAACAATATGTAGTCATTCCATTATTATCTTACCAGCTTCTAATAGCAGCTTGAGTGGTTGATAGACTTGTCCCATGTTCCCATTCAATGCATAGTTTACTTCATTTATAGAAGTTCTAAATACAAACAAAACTTATCATTTCACACAATACTAAATGTCAAAAACACTAGTCAAGATCTTCAAGAGCACAWTCAACAGTGAATCTTTTAAAATTCACCACAAAACATTATTATGAACAAAAGTCTTCTTCAGAATYCCTGTTACACCTAGAAAGGAAACAGTATCTTTGAATTGAAGGGAGACAACTGGTGAGCTTAGATACCTAATAAATAGCGAATAACAGTATCTGTCATTGTTCACTCACAGATTGTCTTACTTCAATGCAAAGGCACTGCAACCCTTCCTTGTTGTTTTAAGTGCAATGACAAATAGACAAGAAATCAAACTAGTTTACCTTAGGGATGATATATTATTTAATCTGTCTGCTACTTGTGAAGGTACATATTTACAATACTGCTGGATGAACTCCTTGTAAGTATTACATCTGAAAATTGACAATACCACAGGTAATTAAAACAAYAACTGGGTTTCCTGTGTACTCAAAAAGAATGATTGGGCTTCCTGTGTAGTGATGACAACARTGATTGGGCTTCCTGTGTATAACTTTCATGACTCACTTGAATTTTTGATCAACATCATCAAGAAGTGGTGAGAATACTCGTAACTGTTGCAACGTTGCCTGCATTAGGGTGTGCTCAGGTGTTGGTGAACTTGATTGGRTTTGGTATCTATTTTCCATRATACTCAGAATCTTTGGAAGCTGTTGAGAGGATTTTGAAATACAAAAGACTATAAGTAATGCATGTTATTTATCGCAAAACATAAAATTTCACATTGAAATATTTCTTGCTTTTGACATAATATTGTTTCTTTACCTTTAGGAAGAAAAAGCCTGTCCATAGAGCTTCTTCCATTGATTTTGACTGAGAATCAAGCATCCCTACAAGAGATGACCTCAGAACTTCTAGATAAAGCTGTGGTCTTGTAATATTCTGACAGATATGATATAATTACAATGCTCAGATATATATTATATTTATTAATACAATAAGTTAATCTGATAGTTACCTGAGTTCTCATGACAGCCTCTAGCAAGTCAGCTAACTTTTCAGGCATATAAGTTGAAAACTTTAGATTCTAAATTTCAATTAATGCCATCAGTTTAAAATGGATTTATCACCAATAAATAATCAAAACCTTTAATTGGCTTTTCAGTTCTTAAATGTACTCACTTGGATATGGATTATGTTCTGTACTGCCATATTTGGAATAGCACCTGGYTGAAGGTCTCCTGTACCATTGGTAGGACTTAGGTTATGTAATCTAAAACAATAATAATTTATTTACTCCTTATATTAATGATAAATTGACAATACAAATGGGAAGAATCAGAAACAGTAATTAAAAAGATATTAAAATAAACAATACAACAATACAACAAAAACAAAGAGCTAGCATGAAAATTGTAGTTTTGGGAGCCCTATGTTTATCACCTTGTCATTTATGCAAAAGTAAAATGTTTCACATTTAGTGATACTACCTGTTATAGTCAATCATCAGTTCCTTGAAATGAACCTGTACTTCTGGAACCATCCCATCTGACTGAATCAACACATAGAACTCTTTCATGTGGGTCTGGAACTGGAAATCAAGTTCTGACACCACACCTGGAATGACAGAGTATCTCATTAACCAATACATATGATGATAATGATGATGATGATGATAATGATGATGATGATAATGATAATGATGATGATGATAATGATGATGATGTTGATAATGATGATAATGATGATGATGATGATGATAATGATGTTGACAGTAAAAATGATGTTTTTGGTGATACCAATGATGAGTCTTTCTAGAGTTGTATGAAACCAGTAGGTTATTCGAACAATAAAAAATCTTTGGTCATAAATTCAGTTTGACCTCTCAAATCTTTGTGTAGATGGATGTTATTTTAAGCTAAAAGACACTTTTATTCTCAGTGCAGTTTGGCTTCACCAGACATCACTTCAGTCTACTCATGTACTGAAGGGTTTTTCCCCCCACTGGAAGATAGAATAAAATAATATTGCACATTTATTGTTTCTTGTAAATACCTTGGTCTTCTAGTTTCCCTACAATGATCAGGCTTCTGTAAGTCGCTGAGCTCATTAACTGAGTGAAGGCTTTGTGACATCGTTTGGCATTTTTAAGGTGATAGTGCAATCCTGATTCATTGGATGCAACTGATGCCTACATTATAAATACGACATGTAAAAATCTAGACTGCAGTAGTGACAGTGGTGTTCAAAGGAGTTACTTTATTCATTCATTTATTCCCAGTAAAAATAATCAA